ACCAGCTACACTCAGCTACTAGATATTTACTCTGAGGAATATAAAACTGATGGAGATCAATACGAATATCGCGGCGCTGATTTGGGTGACGACCTTCCCAATGATGACCCGGATGAGCCAGATGATATAAACTTTTATGATGATCTTGACTCAGTTGGGTGGGAAAATCTCGAAAATCAAATGGAGGGATGATAAGTCAGACGAAGGAACAGGCATGCCTCACTCCAAAGTGACTGTCATGAGACATGTTCTGCAAAAGCCGGTTACTTTTTATCTTTCCCAAAAGATAAAGATGACCGACTTCAGTTACCTCTGTAAATAATCTTAGGGTTAGTTAACCATAGTTAGTTTAATGTAACTAGGGTTACTTTTACTGCAGTTACTTTGTAACTCAAGTTAGTTGGTTTGTTTTTCTTTAAATAGGCCTTCGTAGAAGTAGAAAGGAAGGTTTTGGAGAATAGCAAATATAGAAGGTAGAAAGAGAGAGAGTCCAGGAAAGGTTCAAAGATTGTACTCAGCTCAAATCCTTTGTAATCTGCACTCTTTCAAGTATGTATAAAAGATATCTCAAGTTACTTTCTTTAATGTGTTATTTAGCTTAAACACAAATCTTTGGCAAAGAGAATAGTCTGTAACTTTTATTTGTCTCATTGTTCTATATTCATATACTTATATATAGATGAAGGATTCCTGTTTCAGGCTGTTTTCGACTTCTTTCACAAAGATCTTTAAAAGTGGAACGATAATTGTTTTTCATAACCTACACCACTGTGGAGAGTAAGGAAGTTAAACCTGAATAGCCTGGTATAGAAGAAATTCTTTACTACCTAGCCCTACTGGAGAGTATCCTGTTGAAGCCGAGAATGGCGTTTTAGGAGAAATCACCAGGGATTTGGAAATCAAGTTTTCTTGATTAGGTTGGTCACTAGCTTTCTTGGGAAAGAGGGGGGTCACTGGGTTTTGAAAAACCAGGAAAGATAATGAATTTATGGGGAAAGAAAGGGATCGAAAATATAATGGTATCAGAGCTTTTTCATTTACATATGGGTGTGTGGTATATATATAGACACACACTCAATGTGGGACTGATGCCCTAGTTAAGTAAAAGACGGAAAGCCCTAGCTAATTAATGAGTTACAATTATAAAATATTACAGAAATAAATTCCTTTCCTTTTCAACTTGGGCCGGACCCGGACTCCTTTTGCTTTACATCTTTGGAATAGAAATTTCTTAATTTGAAAATGAGAGAAAGGTAACTTTTTATGAATTTTTGAGTTCTTGATTAAAAGGATGCCTGGCAAATCTTGAAAAGCAATTTATTTAAAAGTAAATTCTTCTCACAAAATTAAAAATTTCTTATAGAGAAATTTAAAAATTAAATTTTAAAATGGTTTTTAAGCAAATTTTGAAAAAACTACACAGCCAAACTTTTTCAAAATTCGTTTAAAAACTCTTTTAAAAGCTAATTTTTGAATTTTTTAACAACAAAGTTTTAAATTTGCAAGAAAAAAAGTTACTTTTTAACTAAGTGATTTTTAAGTTTCATGGAACACTCTTTAGTTAACTTGCTTTTAATTAACCAACAAAAGCTAATTCATTCATTATATATGTATTACCTAACCGCTATACTAATTTAATGTCTTAGCTTCGTTCGCTTTAAACCTTTTAAATTGTATTACCGTATCCAGTTTTATGTCCTGCGTTTGGTATTTCTTATCTTGCCAGCTATACAAGTCTTCTTTTTTAGTAGTTTTGTCTCGCCTTTGTATCTAACTTGTCTTTTGTCATGGAAGTGGAAGGGAACTGCTAGTGGCTATTTTGGCAACTTCACATTGTGCACCACAAATTTCTTTTTGAATGTTGGTGCTTAAGTTAATTATATTTTGCAGGCAAATTCTTTTCTACTTTTCAGAGTGTGGGATTGGAGCACCTAAAAAAAAA